GGAGCAGGAGGCAGGAGCAGGAGGCAGGCAGGCAGGAAGCAGGAGGCAGGAGGGAGGAGGGAGGAGGAGCGGCAGGGAGCAGGGAGCAGGGAGCAGGGAGCAGGAGCAGGAGCAGGGAGCAGGGAGCAGGGAGAAGGGAGCAGGGAGCAGGGAGCAGGGAGCAGGGAGCAGGAGGAGGGAGGCGGAGGAGGAGAGGAGGGAGGAGGAGGAGGAGGAGGAGGAGGAGGAGGAGGAGGAGGAGGAGGAGGGGAGGAGGAGGGAGGAGGAGGATTTTTAGGAGGAGGGAGGGAGGGAGGAGGGAGGAGGGAGGGAGGAGGGAGGGAGGGAGGGAGGAGGGAGTGACGAGTGACGAAGGGGACGAGGGGCGAGGGACGCAGGGACGAGGGACGAGGGAACGAGGGACGAGGGGACGAGGGACGAGGGGACGAGGACGATGGGACGAGGGAACGAGGGACGAGGACGAGGGACGAGGGACGAGGGAACGAGGACACGAGGGAGGAGGGAGGAGGGAGGAGGGAGGAGGGAGGAGGGAGGAGGGAGGAGGAGGAGGAGGAGGGAGGAGGGAGGAGGGAGGGAAGGGAGGACCGGTGAGTGTCAAAGAGGGAGCGGAGAGGAGGAGGAGGGAGGGGGAGGAGGGAGAGAGGGAGCGAGGGAGGAGGAAGGAGGGAGGAGGGAGGAGGAAGAGGAAGAGGGAGGGGGGAGTGGGAAGGGGGGAGGAGGGAAGGAGGAGGAGGTGGAGGAGGAGGAAGGAGGAGGAAGGAGGAAGAGGAAGGAGGAAGGAGGAGGGAGGAGGGGGAAGGGGAGGGATGGCAAGCTAGGTGCGCTCGCGTCATCTCTGACATCCTACCCCTCCCTCCCATCCCTTACAATGGCGTAGATCCCCTCTCTACTCGCACAGTCGGATGTCGAGCAGGGCAATGGCCCCCAAACGGTACGCGATGCATTGTAGAGCACAGCATGGCATGGCGTAGAAGAGCACACCGCAAAGCGTAGTACGTCACAGCATGGCGTGGCGTGGCGTAGTGAAGAATTGCATCACAAAGCTTTGCAACGCAAAGCATGGCATCGCACAGCGGCCCCGAACAGAACATTGCATAGCATGGCGTTGAAGATCAAAGCGTAGCAGGGCATAGCACGACGTGGCACTTATATCACAGTTTCAGCTGAAGGCATGGCATCGCGCAGCGGAACGCAACCGAGCATTGCATTGCATGCCGTGGCATGGCACGGGAAATGACGCCAGCGCTGCAGCGGGAGCACGATTTTGAACGAGCGGAAGCGCGGAAATGAGGCCAGCGCTGCAGCGCGAGCGCGATTCGGAACGAGCGGAAGCACGGAAATGATGCCAGCGCTGCAGCGGGAGCACGATTCGGAACGAACGGGGCCCGAAAATGAGGCCGGCGACTCAGCGAGAGCAGCATTTTGAAGAAACGAAAAAAACATGCGAAAACCAACTCCGGGGAATCTTGTGTGTAAAAAATTGTACGCGGGGGGCGGGACGAACATTCCCAACCCGTCATCAGAAGAAGGAGGAGAGTAGTATTCATATTGAGTAATTGTAGAGGAGCAGGAGCAGGAGCAGGAGCAGGAGGAGCAGGAGGAGCAGAAGGAGCAGGAGGAGCAGGAGGAGCAGGAGGAGCAGGAGGAGCAGGAGGAGGAGGAGGAGGAGGAGGAGAAATAGGAGGAGTTGGAGCTGGAGGAGGAGGAGGAGGAGGAGGAAGAGGGAGGAGGAGGGAGGAGGA